TGGAGGAGAAAGCTTGGATCACTAAATCCACTTTATGTTGATTTTGATGTTAATCATTACTGTATTTCTTGAAAAAAGGATTGTAGTAAAATTGTTAATGTGACAATCTATGCAACGATGTGATCATATTATGTGTTCATAGTTATTCGTGATAGTGATTGTTGGTCCAATATACAATGGCAAAGCTCTCAGTCTCAGTGTTTCTTCCTGTGGATGGCCAGCAGTGACTCAGAGCTTAGAAGTATTAGTTTTTATGTTGACTTCACCTGTCAGTGGGGCTTGTCCCTGTTGGTGATTCTGATAAATAAATAAAATAAATAAATAAATTTTCTTCACAGGGCTGGGATAAAAAGTACTGAGGGTAATCTTCCACCAAGGTACTTTGACATGGAATGAGATGTAGGCACAAGTAGGTAGGTGTTTAGTTCCTATAGTCAGTAGTTGTGTAGGTTTAGTCAGGTTAGCTTAGATTAGATTGTTAGTTTTTTAATTTGCCAAGTGTCCATAAAAATGTGACCTGAGCAATGAGTATACCTGACTAACCTGACAGCTGACCTAACCTCAATCATCACACAATATTTGCAGCCTACCCAAGACCTGCATAGCAGTAGCACCCAGTCATAGGTAGGTACTCACCCTAACTCAATCTTACCTGCTAACCTTCAACTTGCCAAAAGTTAGCTCACATTGCCAAGCTGCATCCAGGGAAACAGTCAACTGAGGAACTGGCTCATTGGGTGGCTGGTGTGAGTCTGTGCATTTAAAGTGTTTCTTCTCTGAAGCTGCTCTGCACTGCTGTATGTGATGTTAGATGCGCAGAAAATATGGGAAATAATTACTAAGCTACTTTAGTGCTTTGTTAATGCTCGAGACATGAACAAGTGCAGATCCTGCAGGGTACAGCTATGAGTTAGGTGCTAGGTGAGTATGTTATGTGAATGTGCTGTTCCCTGTTTGACCATAGTAAGTATACAAACAAGCACAGGGTCACATTTATATTCAATATCCACATAAACATACAACAAAAACAGCCATATAGCCTCACTCCGAACACACCACAGATAACTTAAGCCTTTGCAGGCACAAAAATGTTTTGATTTACAGGACAGGTATACAATATATCCTCTGTCCTTGGGGGATCTTGCTGCAAAGTTGAGGTACGATGACTGAACTTCAGGATTGATCAACCTTTTCTTAGCCACTTTAGTTACCTATATAGGTACGAGAAAGACCAAATGCTCGTTTGTAAACTGCCTTGAACTTCACCTTCCACCTTCAATTCTTAAATCTTACATGAAGGCACAAATGAAATAGTTCCCTCTCCTTTTGGAATACACAAAGCAAAATATTAAATAAATTTTTAGTGGATGGACAAGAGCAATTAGCATAGCTCTCCTCTCAAGTTAACTTCTGGGCACTGATGAATTACACTGACGCTTATTCGCTTCATATTTTGTAACAAACGCGCTAAAACTGCAATATAACAGCACTATATGCTTCTTGACAAAATGCAATATTAGTAAAAAATTAGCCCTGTTGGCATTTATTCTTGTTGGAAACGTAATAACAAAATATTTTGTAGTAACTATTAAATTCCGGCCGAAAACACTGCACGGTTTAAAAAAGAATCATTCCAATGACGGTCCATTCTTGCGGTCCTGAAATCGCCACTATTTCCGGCCTCTCCAACGCAACTCGTTGTCCAGACGTAAATATGCAGAGTTACGACGTACGGGAATGAGTTATCAGCTGTCTAATCGTAGACAACACAATGTCTGACTTAAACTGTAAGCCTGTATTGGTATTGTTTCTTTAATTTGGCTGTCGTACATTAATTTATGGTTTGAAATATGATTTTATGTAAAATAATTGATATAAAACAGCCGTCTCTTAAATTATGACCCCATTTCACCACACGAAAGTGGCAGAAATGACAATGATCAGCTGACGCATTTTTCTTGGCCGAAGTCAGAGCGCGCGGGCCGACGCACCACCACCGCACCACAAAGTATGAGCAGAAGCCGCGCCCAAAGCCAGGGCCCCGGTAACGTGAGGTAGCCGAGTCGGGGCAGCGTGCGCTGACCCAAGCCGGGGCCGCGGCTTTGGGCGCGGTCTACCGCATCCCCGCGGGCAGCCCCGGGCTATCACATGACACCGGGAGGACGCGCGGCTCCGGCTTGGGTCAGCGCACGCTGCCCCGACTCGGATACCTCACGTTACCGGGGCCCTGGCTTTGGGCGCGGTCTACCGCACCACCTAACAGGCATGTTCGAAACCGCAGGAGATGATGATGAACGGGTTTATCGAAACTTGATTGGATGAGCCTATCGGTAATAGCGATTTCAGTGTGTGCATTTATTGTTCATAGTGGTGTGAAATGTGGTTGGGGTACGACCGACAACCCGTCGGGGCGAATTTCGCACTGGGGTACTCAAAATTTGAAGAATTTAAGACGTTTCCATGAGTTTTCAAGGTATGGATAAGTTCTAAAAATCCGGTTCTCCTTATCTGGGCCATTAACTCCATACGGTCCAGGAAAGCTGGCACACTACCTTTAACGGCGGAGACGTTAAGGCATATTGACGGGCAGGCGAGCACCGTTCGGTGAGGGGAGGGGGAGTGGGAAGGGGAGGCAGGGGCGGGAGGGGGGAACGCGCCGCCCGGGCGGCAGTCGACAGAGCACAGCGTGCGCGTAAGCACGCAGCGGATTTTTTTTTTACCTCTTCCAGGGCTTCTAGTATTTTTCCTTTTTTCTCTCCACTCGTTAAAGGGGGGGGGGGCGTTGTGAGCCCACAGGCGGCGGTTTTCTCGAGAGAACTGGTCAGTGGGGGATCGACCTGGCCGCAAACAGGAGGAAAGAAACTTGTATAACCCTCGCGCGCACATGGGGGGGGGGGGGGGGGGTTGCCACTCCCCCTTCCCCCAGGTAGTTTTTCTGCTCTGCACTAAACATTCATAAAGCTAGAAGCCTGATTTGTCGTATAGCTTCTTCTCTTTTTCTCGGCGTCCACTGAAAATTTCAAGTTTCTGTGACTTTTGGTTTTGGAGATATGACCTTGATCTTCAGGTCATGTCATGACCCAAATGACCAATACCCAACATCTTACGTCGGCTATGGGTCTTGTGAGCTTTTGACACCTTGATTTCGTTTTTTTTTTTTGCTATTCTTACCTCCTACCTATCACGGAACATGTTTTACAACGATGTACAGATATCAGGGTCAAGGTCAACCTAGGTCATCTACAATCATTGCATTTTAGGCTAACTGAATTTACTTTCCGTGAATGTTTTTTTATACTGTATTTTTGGTAATAGCTTCTCAGTTCATGATCCCATGTAGGGGAGAGTGGGGCAAAGCGGCCACCCGGGGCAAAGCGGCCACCCATCGTTTTAGCCCTTCATAGCTGGCGTCAGTTCCAATTTATGGTTTCCAATTATACTTCTCTTCACGGTCGTTCGAATGAGCCAGACCGGGGTTTCAGACCCATCACCATTGTTCTGCGAAACACGGAAAAGCATTTCTTGCCAGGTTACCAACTATGTTTACAATTTTTAAATGTTATGTTATTCCATAACCGTTTGGAATTTTTATAAGCGTTCTTGTCCATGCATTGCATAGTTATCGTACATGTATTCTACCGATTTTAATGTTTTTTACCCCACTAATAGCTCAGCTGGAATATTTTTGTCTCGGACGGTATGCGCGGGGCAAAGTGGCCGGGGCAAAGTGGCCACCCCCAATTGGCCATAAGTTGCTTCCATCTGGATAAAAACATTATCTATATTCAAATCATCTTGGCCACTTTTCAGTTGCATGAGTTACCAAATAATGCAATTAAATGTTTATTTTCATGAAAATCCTTTCTTTGTTTACCTACAGGTGGAAGATGATAAAGTAAACATCCATCCTCGCTTAAACCTAGTCACCATCAAATACCCTAGTCGTGCACGAGGCAACTATTTTGTTTCTCATATCGGGACTTGAGAAGACGCCGGCGGCCGCTTTGCCCCAGGGTATGGGGCAAAGTGGCCAATATGCATAGGTTTAAAGTTTTGTCAATATCTTTCATATGTGAATGCCTTTGGAAATAAAACGCAGTTGAAATAAAAGGCAACTTACTAGGGATCACATTGGTATAGAAAGAATCTTTCCAGGTTTAAAAATCAAGCGTTGGCATCGTGAGAAGCGTTAGGGTGGCCGCTTTGCCCCACTCTCCCCTACCTAATAGGGACACAGAAAACAATCGGTGAGCTCATCAGTATACACAGACACACACAGACATACAAACGCCTATCATTGACCTTGACTTAGCTTGACCTGAAATGACCACAGCCAGTAAAAACCTAATCGGATAGTGAGACAAAGAGCTGTTCTAGCTGGCTTGGCACCACAAACGGCAACGTCATCGGTATATGATGGGCACAGCACGTCATAGTCCAACGGTGGCCCCAAACAGCAACATTTTTAGTTTGACCTGACCTGGAAGGTCAATGATTGACCTAATGAGGTAAAATTGGGTACCATTGGAGGTATGAGCTTTCAGTCTTGCGGCGTTTGGCAATGGCACAGGAAAAACCTGAAGGGGGCCTTAAAGCCCCCCCCCCCCGCCCGGAATAGGGTTAAGGGATCTTCAGAGGCTGTTGTACTTCGCCAGACCGTTTGAAAACTGACTAGGCCGTTAGGCCGTTTGAAAACGGCCTAGTCAAAAACTGACTAGGCTGTTTTTAAACTGTCTAGACCGTCTCAAACTGCCTAGGCCGTTTTCAAACGGCCTGACTGGACCATGGGCCGTTTGCAAACAGACTGGGTCTTGATACGGTCTGTAACATATAGATGAGTAGTTTCACAAAGTTTCGCAAAAATCGGAGGAGGTGAGGGTCAAAATAGTCATTTTTTGTCCCATTTGACGTGGTATATCGTCTGTTGAGCACTGACCGTTATCTGCGGTGGCGTGCAGCGGCGGCACAGCGCCGTGGTATATTGTCTGTTGAGCACTGACCGTTATCTGCGGTGGCGTGCAGCGGCGGCACAGCGCCGCCCGAGTGAAGTTCCGGCGGCCCATCCAGCACAGCGCCATCACTCAGAGCCAGACTGTGGGTCACACTGCTGCTGGGAGGTCAGACTGTGGGTCACACTGCTGCTGGGAGGTCAGACAGTGGGTCACACTGGTGCTGGGAGGTCAGACTGTGGGTCACACTGCTGCTGGGAGGTCAGACTGTGGGTCACACTGCTGCTGGGAGGTCAGACTGTGGGTCACACTGCTGCTGGGAGGTCAGACTGTGGGTCACACTGGTGCTGGGAGGTCAGACTGTGGGTCACACTGCTGCTGGGAGGTCAGACTGTGGGTCACACTGCTGCTGGGAGGTCAGACTGTGGGTCACACTGCTGCTGGGAGGTCAGACTGTGGGTCACACTGCTGCTGGGAGGTCAGACTGTGGGTCACACTGCTGCTGGGAGGTCAGACTGTGGGTCACACTGCTGCTGGGAGGTCAGACTGTGGGTCACACTGCTGCTGGGAGGTCAGACTGTGGGTCACACTGGTGCTGGGAGGTCAGACTGTGGGTCACACTGCTGCTGGGAGGTCAGACTGTGGGTCACACTGCTGCTGAAAGGTCAGGCTGTGGGTCACACTGCTGCTGGGAGGTCAGACTGTGGGTCACACTGCTGCTGGGAGGTCAGACTGTGGGTCACACTGCTGCTGGGAGGTCAGACTGTGGGTCACACTGCTGCTGAAAGGTCAAACTGTGGGTCACACTGGTGCTGGGAGGTCAGACTGTGGGTCACACTGGTGCTGGGAGGTCAGACTGTGGGTCACACTGCTGCTGGGAGGTCAGACTGTGGGTCACACTGCTGCTGAAAGGTCAGACTGTGGGTCACACTGCTGCTGAAAGGTCAAACTGTGGGTCACACTGCTGCTGAAAGGTCAGACTGTGGGTCACACTGGTGCTGGGAGGTCAGACTGTGGGTCACACTGCTGCTGGGAGGTCAGACTGTGGGTCACACTGCTGCTGGGAGGTCAGACTGTGGGTCACACTGCTGCTGAAAGGTCAGACTGTGGGTCACACTGGTGCTGTGAGGTCAGACTGTGGGTCACACTGCTGCTGAAAGGTCAGACTGTGGGTCACACTGCTGCTGGGAGGTCAGACTGTGGGTCATACTGCTGCTGGGAGGTCAGACTGTGGGTCACACTGGTGCTGAAAGGTCAAACTGTGGGTCACACTGCTGCTGAAAGGTCAGACTGTGGGTCACACTGGTGCTGGGAGGTCAGACTGTGGGTCACACTGCTGCTGGGAGGTCAGACTGTGGGTCACACTGCTGCTGAAAGGTCAAACTGTGGGTCACACTGCTGCTGAAAGGTCAGACTGTGGGTCACACTGCTGCTGGGAGGTCAGACTGTGGGTCACACTGGTGCTGGGAGGTTAAACTGCTCATGGAAATCTTAAATGTGGGTCATTCCATGCCCAATCACCCACCAAACGTGGAATTGTGCGGTCACCAGCACTTGCTAGTTGCTACCCATCACCTCGTTTTCGGTCACTAGGGTTGAAGACCGATCCATTCTCAGTCGCAAAAGATACCATAAATCATCCATTAGGGCGTGCGATTTTCGAATATCTAGATCAATTTAGCATATTCAAAGCATTGTGGAATTCACTTATATAAAAATCAAAATATCTGTACGCATCAAAATTCAAAATGTCACGTATGGATGAACGTGACGCGTCAGTTCCCTTTGGCGGGCTGTTGCTCCGGAATGGTGCGGGCTGCGGGGTTGAAATTTTGGCGCCGAGTCGGGCGCGTGCAACCATTTGTCGCATTAAATCTTGGTGGGGTGCGCTCGGCGGTTTGCACGTGGCGGGCGCATCTTTGCGTGATTTTGTGCCGCGGCCGGCGCCGATCAGAGAGCACGTGCTTTAGGCTCAGTTTCTTCGCTTGCAAAACTGAGCGAAATCAGAGCCGGGAGGTCGTTGACCTTTGGCAATGAATACCGGCGCAGGGCACCACCGGCTACAAGGATTCGCCAAATTTATTCTGGCAATATCTCAGCCGCTACTGGGCCGATTTTAATGAAAATTGATTCGTTACGCTACGCGTAATGCTGTCCCTCTAGTGGGAACCGACTCGGAAGGTCTTACTGAGTCCATTGGTGGGTTTCCTGACTCGCTAGCTCAATTTGATCGGGAGTAATGGACGAAAAACTAATATGACCCTAATGACGTCATAAATGACGTCACGCAAGGTCAACATTGCAAAAGTGACGCATGTAACCTTGCAAGGAGTGCATCAAATCACAATTATGTGTGCTTGAGATACTTGGAGATCGTTCCCGGCGCCAGAATAGCAGTTTCATTTTTCCCCTTTGACTTATAATGGTGATTGGTGAGGTCACGAAAATGCATAAAAATGTTGTTTTAAGTTTTTAATCAAACTGTAAACGCAAAATTATACATAAATATCAATGCATGAAGATGAAAAAAATGAATGTAAAGTTTCTTTCCAGTGCCCTAAAATCAGTATAGTAATCAAGTTAACAGTAGTAGTAAGCAGGCGCACATTGCTCAACAGTCAACACACATGTTTTAGATATCATGTTAATCTTTACCTATATTTTCAATACCCTGTTTTATCAGGACATTTGTGAGCAAGCAAAACATAATGATGAATACACAATGCATGTTCACATTGTAATTTGGTAACCTTAGTTACTGATTTGATTTTGGGCTAAGGGTCATAAATTGCTTGATCTAACCCATGGTCTCCTAACCAAGATTCTTACAGATAAGGTTGGGACGCGAGTCACGTGATCCTTTTTCTGCTTTTTCCAACCCTACTCATGATTTTCATAAGCCTTGATTTATTTCTTGCACAGAGGCGTTTGTAGTTATTCAATATACAAAAACTAATTCAATGCTATTTCAAATTAACAAACAGATTTTACGCGCAATCTCAAACAAAAATTGAATTTATTCGCGTTTCGTTATATGTTTTCAAATATAACCTTATGTTCAATGATTGCGAAATGCAAAAGGTTCCAAAATTAATTACAAAATGAATATATTTCGGACACTGTCCTTCTTCAGTTCAGAATTGCAAATTAAATCATTTAGTCACAACAGCGCCAGAGTATGTCGATAACAGCTAAGTCAGGAAGTCTCACATTGGTAAATTCTCGCGCAAAATAGACAACCATCTTACAGTTGAAATGTTCACAAGTTACCCTTTCATATAAATATAATACATGTGTCCACAATTTACACATTAATTCATCCCTATCATCTATCAATCACTAGACCACAAGCATCTAGTCGTCTATTCGACCATCGAGGCATGCAATCAGTCAAACATCCAACCATCTATGTACTCACACATCACTCAGCTATAGATAATTTGACAATCAAGTCATCAAAGGCCACCATCTTACATCAAAGAGTTTAAGTACTTTACCATTAAACCATTCATTCAAACCTCGAAACAATACTCAATCGTTCAATCATTCATGTTCATCCGTACATACATTCATTCATTCATTCATTCATTCATTCATTCATTCATTCATTCATTCATTCATTCATTCATTCATTCACTCATTCATTCAATCATTCATTCATTCATACAATCATCCAATTATTCAGTCCTTCATTCATTCATTCATTTTCTCACACACCATTCATCAATATGGTTGAATATAAAGGTTTTTACCATTCATCACCACTCATCAATATGGTTGAATATAAAGGTTTTTGGAACCTTTTGCATTTCGCAATCATTGAACATAAGGTTATATTTGAAAACATATATATGTCATAATGCTGTTCATACAAGTACTTCGCCATTTACTTGCAAACGCGTTTCGTTAATTTAATCAGCTGGCAACCATCACCCATCGTCCTCGATGTAGTCGAACTTGGCGCACTCAGATAATGTTCGAAATTTGTGACGCTTACTTGTTGCTATGGCGACCGAGCAGTACCTACGATTTTCATTTGTCAACAAGTGCTTGTGGAGCTGCCGCTCACACTTTTGAACACAGTCTTTATGCGTCAGTTTGTTTTACGCGTCATATCTGAAACATGTTTCGTGAGGCTCCAAAACCATTCAATTCATCTCCTTCAAAAGAAGTGCTTTGTAACATTTTCGATATGTTTTTTGGGCTTAATTGCTAGCTCCATTCATCCTATCTTGCGTGAGGATAGTCATCACTTGGGGACCAGTCGTTGAAAGCAAGGAACAACGACGAGAAGAAAGTCTTGTAAAAAGTCGCAGCGATTGCATTGATGTAAATAGAGTGAATAACCTTATGCTAATGTTATATGTTGCAAATTGATATAATTAAAACTAAATTGATATATTTCGATATTGCACCGTCATCAGAATAAGAATAATTTCTTATTCTGATGACGGTGCAATATCGAAATATATCAATTTAGTTTTAATTATATCAATTTGCAACATATAACATGAGCATAAGGTTATTCACTCTATTTACATTATTAATCATGCTCAGAAATACCATAGCTTACCTCCAAGCGATTGCATTGAGCATTAAATGACGAAAATATTTTTACCCCCCACCGCCTCAGGCGATCACGTGCCGTCACCCACCTGCTCCTAACTCACTTTACATTTTCCAGCAGAATCAGCGTTTACCTATCAACAAAAATAATTGCAATACCTTGGCTTATGAGCATTGATGGATCTGTCACATATTGCCGTGGCTCCCAATTACACAAAAATAAAGATACAATGGCGAAAAATAGATACATACCCTACTAGGTATTAAAAACAACCACCTTCACATCACCTCCACCATCACCCAAAAACTATTGTTTTCATAGCTCAACAAACAATTTTTATCCGTTTGGTGTTCTTCGCCTTCTAGTTTTGAGGACCGCTAACAGTTTTGCATTCGATGCTAAATTCGGATTAGAGATTTGCCAGACTGCTCGCAATATTTGCCACATGCAAACCACGCAGAATACGCTTTTATGTCGCAGCTGCGTCAATATATCCTTTATGCAGATGAAACCGCGATTTTCTTTGAAGCAACAAACAAAAACAACCTTGAAAATATCATTAACTGCGAAGCTTAACTTATCTGCTCCTGG